AAACTTTCTAACACGAAATGTATAAACGAACCTAACAAGAAGGTATAAATTATAAAACAATATTAGAATTGTGGTTTTAAACCACTCAACCCAATTAAGAGGGTCGAATCTGAATAATTAAATATTTTCAAAAGCTTATTAAAATTGGTTGTCAATATATTTGATAGCTAACATGTTTGGTTGGTAATACCGTACCAATTGAACAATCTTGGTACAGTAATGGTACAAAAGTTTGAATACTATAGTAATATCGTACCAACCTACAAATATATATATATATATATATATATATATATATATATATATATATATATAAACAAAATCATAAATTTCAATTGTTAATTGTGTTTAGTGTTTACAATTTTAAAAATGTATATAAGTTATCTGGTCGCATTAGTCAATAGTCATTACCATATTAAAGAAAAAAAATTAAAACATTACTTTAACGTTACTTTCAATAGAATTCTTTTGTAAATTAAAAGAACTGCATAACTAATTTCTTTACTAAATATCTAAATTACCTGATGTATTTTCTTATTTTGAATTTTTACAATAGACTATTAAAAGAAGTTGGTATATACCATTACCAATTTGTACCAACCAAATGTGTTGGTAGTTAAATATATTGGTATCAAATATACTTGGTATGGTACTAGTAGCAAACTTTTTATACCCATTATAATTGGTACTGTACCAATTCCAGCCCTAATCTTTGTTATAAGTTTGTGTCTTTAAATAAAATATATAATGAAAAAAATTTGGTCATGTGCATCTGTCCACTTTACCCCCCCCCCCCCTTCAACGTCCCCCATGCCAATCAACATTAGTCTTAGACTACTAGATGTGAGCAACATGTTATCACACCCAAAAGGTATCATGTCAGCATCCTACTCATACATGGGTGTTATAACACTGAAGGTGGAAATGAGCAACATCTAATAACATGTGATAACAAAATAAAAATAATAATAATAATAATAATAATAATAATAATAATAATAATAATAATAATAATAATTATTATTATTATTATTATGTTTTTTTTTAATATTTTGAATTTGTTTTTTTAAGGAATAAAAGGGTTGAACTTGCTATTTATAGGGTGTTATGGGGATATTCATGTCGTGAGCATGATAAGTTCACGTTGTGAACTTCCACGAGTCACCCCGTAGCTTTAACATGCGTTTTCTAGCCTCGATTAGTGTCGCTGACACATTTCACGTCGTGTTCACGTGGTGACTTAAGGCGACTAGGGTTTCTGCCACATGTCATGCCCTTAGACAGCTGCATCTTCGGATGGTCATAACTTTTGCATACGAGCTCCATTTTCGACGTTCTTTATAACCACGCGTAGGTGGAGACGTACTCTACAACTTTCTCTTAGGTCACAAAGGCTAAAAAGTATTTTATCATAAACTCACTTTTTATGATTCCCAATGTCGTGTCGGTTTCGTCGTGAAACTTCGACATGTCATAAATTTTTCGTTATAACTGGAATTCAGCGTTCTTTATAAGTACAGAAACCTTGTGAAATATACTGTTGAGATTATTTATTCTAAATAATCATCTATCAAAAAGGTCATTTTTGATGCTTATCGTCTCTAAATTGATTAGCCCGAATCTGTGGGCGTTACACGATCATTAACTCTCTTTACTTCAAACAACATAGAATCATTCTAGCAATTTGGCTTACGGTTTCTCTGACTAGAATCATAAATGTCCTCTTGGATTATCTTAGGTTGAATTTCTTACAACCCATACATAATGTGGAAATATCAGTCCGAAAAGTATTTACACGATCCAAGAGGTATCCAGATCTCCTACACAAACCCTATTTCTTCCAACAGTAAGGGACCAACATAATAGAAGTTTTTGGATATCTAATTTGTTACAAGTAAAATCTAAGTTAGTTTCTTAACATGGATTGCAAATAAGGACTTCGAGAGGACTATACATAGTAGGGGTAAGCAAAAACTGCACCGCAATTAAAATTAACTGCAAAAACAGTAAAAACCGCAATCAATAAACCGCAATCGCAATAAAAACCGATGGTGAGGTTTTCTGTTTTTCAAAAACCGCAAATTTGCGGTACGGTGCGGTTATTAATTTTCAAAAACCGCAAAAAAAAAAAAAAAAAAAAAAAAAAAAAACGCACCACACCGCATATATTATATACGATTTCTTTAATTAATTATTTATATATTAAATATTAAAAATAAGACAAGTTTTATGGATGAAAGATTGATAAAATACTAAAAGATAAAAGTGTTGGTTTTTTGTTATGTTTAACTTTGAAAAATGGTGAAGCAAAAACTGCACCGCAATTAAAATTAACTGCAAAAACAGTAAAAACCGCAATCAATAAACCGCAATCGCAATAAAAACCGATGGTGAGGTTTTCTGTTTTTCAAAAACCGTAAATTTGCGGTACGGTGCGGTTATTAATTTTCAAAAACCGCAAAAAAAAAAAAAAAAAAAAAAAAAAAAACGCACCACACTGCATATATTATATACGATTTCTTTAATTAATTATTTATATATTAAATATTAAAAATAAGACAAGTTTTATGGATGAAAGATTGATAAAATACTAAAAGATAAAAGTGTTGGTTTTTTGTTATGTTTAACTTTGAAAAATAGTGAAATTAGACAATTTTAAGATATTTATTGTTAATTACTATTGATTTTACATTTTTAAGATATTAGTTGTTTGTGAGTTAAGTTAATTGTTTTATACATTATGTTTTTTTTATATTACAAGTAATATGTTTGAACTTTTAAAACCGTTTGAGCTCTAAACTGTGATTAAAAGTCACACAAAGTAACCGCACCAAATCCATATGGTTAATAACCGCAACAAAAAAAAAAAAAAAAAAAAAAAAAAAACCCGCACTGCAAAAGTAACCGCCTAACCGTACCGCTAAAATAACTGCACCAAACGGTTTTGAAAATGAATTAACCGCATTTGCGGTTAGTGGTGAGGTTTTGACTAATAACCGCACCGAACCGCATCGCGCTCACCCTAGTATAAAGGAGTATTCTTTGATTTACAATCAATAAATACTTTATATATAAAAGTAATGAATACATGTTTTGTTATTTAATAGTTACGTGTAAAAGCGGTTCTTTACAACAAAAAATGTAGAAGTTAGATTTTGTGAGTAATCTTTTGAAAGTTATAAAATATCTATACGCGTTGTATGTCTATTCTCCTCCTTTTTAAATTGTATCTTTGACGGTTAGCGTTTTAACTTTTACGAAATATACTTTTATCTTACTTTCGGTATATCATCAACAAGAAGACAATTTCCTATAATAATTGGCAAAATCAATGCAATATATTGAATTCTTCTAAGGAACTTTAACACCAAATTATTTGATGTAAAAAGAAATGTTTTTAGAGTAAATTATACGAATGGTCCGTATGTTTTCGGGAAATTTGTGTACTTAGTCACTAACTTATTTTTTTAACTCGAAAGGTTCTTACTATTTGTTTTTGTTATACGTTTGGTCCCTATTGTTTGTTTTTATTACGCATTTGGTCCCTATCTTAGCTAAAAAAAACCTATTATTTAAATAGAGAAAAATGATAAGGTAGATAAGGTAATGTGAAGGGGTGGGCCTAGAGGTGTGTTTATTTAAATAAATTAAAAAAATTAATGTCAATATAGTATTTTTAGGTAAAACAGGAACCAAAGCATAACAAAAACAAACAATAAAGATCTTCCGAATTAAAAAATAAATTAGGGACCAAACAATCAAATCACCCTAAACCATAGAGAACATTCATGTAATTTACTCATGTTTTTAGCATATCATTATAAATTCACCTTATTATTACTATATCAAGATTGTTAGTTACATATTTGAAGCATCTAATTAGTAATAAAAAAAATTAAGATGTTCTTTTATTATAATAAAATTGACCAACTGAAATATAATAATATTATTATGAAAATTAAAAAAAAAAAACAACTAATATGTTATTGTATTTAAAAATACTTAAACTCATAACTTCAAAATTGCACTTATAATAATCAAGATCTAATACTATATTTTTTGAACAAAAGATCATAATAAATTTCCAAACTCCTATAAATCTACCCTAATAAATGAAAATGTTATTGCCACTTGTCATTCTCTTATTTATTTGGCCACATGTCATTTTGTCATAATTTTAAAATATATTTATTTTCCACCTGTCAATTACTTCATTATTCATTTCCACTATATCATTAATTTAGTTTCCATAAATTAAATTTCAAATTTAAATTTCAAATAAATTTACACTTTAAATATTTGTATTTAACATTTTATTATAATAAATCGTTTAATACACGTGTCTAACAATTACACACATAACTTTAATTAATTTATTTTTTGCATGTTTTTTTTTATTTTATAATTTTCACTTATTTCATATTTTAAATTCAAATAAACTTTTCATTTAATCGCTAATGTTTAACATTATGTTTTAATTAACCCGTCTAATATACAGGTTTCACAACTAGTTTCTAATATATAAGGTTCAAGGGAATGGTGTTATACTCCCTCATGAAACCGCAGTACTACATAAGCGTCATCTCACTCCTTACAACAAAAATATGTTTTCATACCACACCCAAAGAATGATATCATACTTATGTTTTTTTTTTTTTAATAAATAAAAATGACCAATCATGGGACGGTAAGAAAAAAGGATCAATCATATTTTTAAAAGGGTACACCCTTAGAGTGTCGTGGTGTGGTCTCTGCCGCACCTCTACCACCCCTAGGGGGCGGTGTTTCGTCCAATGTAGCACCCGACTACAGCCACCGCTGCAAACCACTCCCCCGGTCAAAGGGTAATAAATTACAACCCCACAAAAATAAAGGTATGGATGTTCAATATACATAAATACAAGGTGGAAATCTCAACATAAACATAACGTCATCATTGGGCCCACAAAAGCCTATAAATAGTAACACCTCCACTTTTTCCGAACCTTTTCGCGCCTCCTCACGACTCTTGCACGACCCACGGCCCGATTCAACTCTGTACATAAACCGTAGTCGGTTCAAAAAAAATTAATCCTCAATCGTTTTCGTTGATTTCTCTCACAAAGATGCCGATTAAGCGATCTCGCACTTCAAGATCTTGTGCGCATTTGGAAAATGAAGATACCGGTGCTAATGTTCAGATACGGCAGGCGGAGCAGTCGTCTTCCACCGTTAGAGCTCGGAATAAGGCGGCAAGAACATCAATGTCGGAGGATGAAGTAGTGAATCCACCAAATCAGCTGCGAGAAGTGGCTTTTACAGTTGAATCACTGCCACCGTCACCTCAACGTCAACCACCGCCACTTCAGACCCAGCTCACGGATGGAGGCGTGTTTTCACTACACATAAATCCAAGGCTTCCACCGGCATTACTCGATGTATGTAACTTTTGTAAGAGAAGGATTGGACCAGAGGAAGATCGGTACATGAACGGGTAAATTTCATCTTAAAAATTCCATCCCACCTAATTTTCTTTTACAATTAATCGATTAGACTAGTTGATGTTACTCATCAGTTGAAGGATTTTGAAAGTCTAATGTTTCTGTCTCGTGATTATGAATCTGAATTCGTTTCATTGCTGAAACGTGCAGAGGATTGGAAGCATATTGTTCTCCTGCATGTCGTGCAAAATTCAACAACTTGATGATAGCAGCAGGGAAACGATCTCCTGATGCAGAGCCTTCTATGAATCGCCTTCAATGGAACAAGAAGAAGTGAAAGATTATATGAATATGTATATACATACATTAAACAATTAAGTAGAGTAAGGTTCTATGAATATAAGATAATAATTAAAGAATACTGCTAGAAAATGGTTCTCTTGATCAACTTTAAAATGTTTCTATTTGCAAATGTTGTTTTTTCTTCTTTAAAATTGAAATGATAATTATATTATATTATTTATTTTATTTTTATATTTTTTATATGTATTTTAATTTTAGTATGGCATTCGTAAATATTTAATAGGAAGGGGCCCACCCCAACTCCGAACTAACCCTTATGACGACACACTCTATTTCATACCATCTTCATTTTTCGCCACTATATGTCATATATGTGTTACGTCATTCTTTATCAATTTTTCAAACCATTTTATATCTACTCTTCACCTCTTGTACAAGTCAGTGTTGCAAGATGTACACCGAAAAAGAGGGAAGGGTAGGGGGAGAGAAAAGAAAAGAGACAACTCATAAAAAAGAAAGAGAAGATGAGAAAGAAAGAGAGAGAAAATGATGTCAACATCACATCGAAGGTAGAGGAGCCTGGTGGCAACCCTAGGCAACACAATATTTATATTCCAACCGTCCATTTCAGTACCTCGTTCCACGTCCGGGATAGTATAACACCAGGGGTGGATTTAGTATAGGACATAGTGGCACATGTAACTTCTGACTTTTTCTGATGTAGTGTAAAAGTTTTCCACATTTTCCAAAAAAAATTTCTACTATCGTGAAATCCCGCACTTTCTTGTGACACCCCTACTATAAAATCTTACCTCCACCCTTGTATAACACATAGCCTAAGTTGCAACATCATCCCCCTCCTTTCCCTCCGTTTTTTCCGACAATAAGTACCACTGCATGTTTTCAATGAAAACTCAACCAAAATCTAACCAAAACCACACAACTTTAACCAAAAAAATAAAAATCAAAAAACTTTAAAGAAAAAAGTACCATTTTTAACACAAATTTGGCTATGAACTTTTGTGCAATCTCTAAAATCCCTATAAAGTTGCCTATTGGATTTGGTTTTGGCTCTAAACTTTTGCATAAGCTCTAAACTCTCTTAAAAATATGATTATTGGCTTTGTTTTTTGCTATGACTTCATTATCATAATTACTTGAATTAAGTCAAAAGTGACCAAACGAAAAACAATTTAATGAATAAAGTAGTAATGTATATAATTATTAAAGAATCTAATAATTTTAGCAAGATATGAGGGTGATTAACGAAGGTGAATTGTGGAGAGGAATTAAGATTGAAAACTTGATTTATCTGTTTTGTGATGATCAGGATTTAATAACGAAGAATCTAAGTATCAAAATTATTCCATATCTAGGTGGGAGGAAGAAATTGGTGCTTTGGCTTCAAAATTTTATCTATGTAACAAAATAATGGTGAGCTTTAACTTCATTACAAAAACAATGGTGAAGTTGAATATCAAATTCTTTCAGTTTTTGACTTGATCCTCGTTTCTTCTTTCGAGCAACATATTTAGATCCCTAATTTGGATATGGGAGAGGGGGTTCGAAGGGAAGGGAGGTGCCAGCTGGATGTGGGAAGCAGTGGGTTGCTATACATAGATGAGAGAGACAATGAGAGATAGAAAGAAGTATGGGTCCAC